CAGCCAGAGGGCTTTGGAGCCATCCAGCAGCTCCACAGAGCCTGAGAGCTTGAGCTCCATGCCCGCCAGCCAGGCAGCATTGGGGACATTACAGAGTTCCCAGCTGCCCGAGCCCAGCGACCTGCCCAGTGTGCCCGAGACTGAGCAGGAGACAAACGGCCCACGATCATCAGAGGATCGGGCTACCTCTGAGCAGCTGCGAGGACGCCGTGGGAGCAGACGAACAGCAGCAGCAAGTGCTGAGAGCAACTCCCACACATCCACCAGGCAGAGAGCCTCAGGGTCCTCCAGGGCGTCTCCGGCAGCTGCACGCAGAAGACATCCCAGGCAGCGAGGAAGAAGCCGCACACGGAGCCGCTCCCCGCTGCAAGATCGGGCCCCGAGTTCCCAGAGCCGGCCAAGAAGATGCCGTGGCAGCCGGCACATGCCAGCCCCAGGGGAGCAGAGCAGCACCCTCAGCTCAGCGAGATCTGCAACATCGAGATCCTTGAGGACTGCACCAGTGCCTCAACGCAGGGGACGAACCATGCAGCGAGGGCGGGCCCACACACAAAGCCCTTCCCCAGAGAGATCTCGGCCTTAAAATTCCAGCAGCTCACCCCAAAGAGGCAGCAGCATCCAGGCCCAGCAGTGGATGCCATCCCGGGAATGCAGCTGCTCCCAGGAAGAACATCAGATACAAAGTCCCCACAGACAGCCTCCAAGTCTGCGTAGGAGCAGCTGTGTACCACTCATAGAATGGCGTGGGTTGAAATGGACCACAATGACCATCTAGTTTCAACCCCCCTGCTATCTGCAGGGTCATACTCCCCTCTCATCTCCCCTGCTTACTCTGGTCCCAAAAGTCCAACACAATAAAGATCAGAGTTCCCCCCCCCCCCAAACACATTTGTCAGCTTCATCCTTCCCTGCTTTTGCTGAGTTGGGCATAGGTAGGGACCTTGACAACACGGTTCTCTCCTCCCCAGACTTCTCTTCACCTGGCCCAGTTCAGGCCAAGCTGATTTCTGGCCATACCCCCATGACTTCGAAGTCTTCCGATACAGCAAAATTATTTCAGACTCACTCATCACCAAATTTATTCCAATTCAAGAGTTCAACAGCTGTGACAATTTATGGTGTAACAATCTGTATCTGTAATACTATACCTTGGGAAGAAATTCAAACAGCTAAAGTTCTACATAGAACTTTCTATCATTTCATGTCACTGCAAACATCTAGTTTCACCAGTCTGGCATCTCATTATATTGTGACACCAGAGAATAACTTGGTTCTTAAGACCTTTTTGAAAAAGAAACCATGCCGACAATTATCTCTTCCTGGTTGACACCATAGTCAAACTCAGGTTCTCATACTTATTCGCAAGTCCATGGCATTGGATGGGCACCACCCTAGGGTGCTGAGGCAGCTGGCGGGGGTGACTGCCGAGCCACTCTCTGCCATCTATCAGCGCTCCTGGTTATCTGAAGAAGTCCCAGAGGATTGGAGGCTTACCAATATGACTCCCATCTACAGTAAGGGCCGTAAGAAGGATCTGAGGAACTACACGCCTGGCATCCTCACCTCAGTAGCAAGAAAAGTTATAAAACAAATCATAATAGGTGAGATCACACAGCAAGTGCATGGCGTTCAGAGGATCAGATTGAGGAAGCGCGAGTTCATGAAAGGCAGGTCGTGCTTGATCAACCTCATCTCCTTCTATGACTAGGAGACCAGACTGCTAAACAAAGGAAAGGCTGTTGATGTAGTGGCCTGGACAGGTATACCCTTTTTAGTAAGGAACCGGTTAGAGGGCTGTGCCCTCTAGCGGGTAGTGGTTAATGGAGTTAAGTCCAGCTGGTGACCCGTCGCAAGTGGTGTCCCCCAGGGGTCGGTACTGGGGCCCATCTTGTTAATATCTTTACTGATGAGCTAGATGAAGGGATTGCGTGCGCCCTCAGGAGGTTTGCAGATGACACCAAGTTGGGAGGTAGCGTCGACCTGCCTGAGGCTGGGGAGGCCCTTCAGGGGGATCTAGATAAGCTGGATCGCTTATGTGGCTGCGGTGAATGGGATGAGGTTCAACAAGGCCAAGTGCCGGGTCCTGCACTTTGGCCACAGTAACCCCATGCAGC